TTTAAAAGGTTTTCCTCATTCAGAATGAGAGTTTGGTTTGTTTCATGTAGTTGGATTTGATTTCATTTGGCAGAGTTGTGCTCTTCATTTTAGGGTAAGTCCCTGGCTGTATGTTTTACTGATTAGTTAGGAGCCTGCCTGGATGATCGTGTGTGCCACGGGCTCTGCTGCTTAGGCTGCAACTTGACAGGAGTCAACTGTTACATTTCTTCTGTCGCTAGTGGGCTCAGACCTCTGGCCTTTCAGTTAGCAGCTGGCCATTTGAAACACTGCCCACAGTGAGTAGCTGATACCTAAAATGTCTTATGTGGTATTGTTCTGCTTCTCACTGTGACTTGGTCTCTAAGGGGAACTTTCTTGGAGAGTCCCAGATGTGGACTGTGCTTCTGGTTTTGGCCTGAAAGCGTGTTGGCTTGGCCTTCATGAGCCCCTGAGTTATCCCAGAAGGAGCCCTGGTAGTGTGGTGTGAGATAATACCGGGTACTAACTGAAAGGTTAGTAGTTCAAATCCACCATCTACTCCACAGGAGAAAGATGAGCAGCCTCCCCTCGTTACGATTTACCACCTCAGAATGTAAAATAGTGCAGCCACTATGGAAGGCAGCCTGGTGCTTTTTCAAAAATTAGAAATAGCACCGGACTCAGCAGTTCCACTACTGGGAATATGCCCTAGAGAAACCAGAGCCATGACTCGAACAGATGTGTGCACACCCATGTTTACTGCTGTGTTCTTCACAACAGCATAGAGATGGAAGCAACCCAAGTGCCCATCAACAAACCAATGGAAAGAAAAATTATGGTACATTCACACAATGAATGAAAAACAGTGAACTTGTAAAACATCACACAACATGATTGACCCTGGAGGACATTATGCTGAGTGAAATTTCTTAGTCACAGAAGAACAAACACTATGTAACACTGTTATAAAATAGGACAGATATGGGGGAGGAAGAATGGGGTACGAATGGGTAGAAAATGAACATTGGATCAGATGAGGGGAAGAACTATTTGAAAGGAATATATGATTATGCATTATATGTATTGGAACAAGGGGTGTGTTCCAGGGAGGGCAGGGGGAGTGAAGGGGGGAAGAAAATGTGCAACAATGGAAAAAAATTAAGCCTTTTTTTTTTTAAAAAAAAAGCAAAAACACCAAAAAACATACATTAGACTTTAAGATTAAGTAAAGATGTAGACTGGGCTACGTGATACTGCTACAGAAGCAGTACCAGCTTGTAAACATTTAGAAAGAACCCAAATTATGTTCTGTCTTCCAAACAAAAAGGATTATGGGTGTTAGATTTGACTTTGTTACAGTGATTTGGCGTTAATTCCCAAGGCTGTCATCGGAGTGTCTATTGTGAAAGGTATTGGAGGTCTCCTGAGGACAGCTGGCTCAGAATTAGGGTCACAAAGCCATTGTGTTGTCGGCACTGTCCTGTATGACTCCTGCTTGAACCAACACTGACTCCCTGTCAGCTGACTGCAGGAAGTGCTGAGTTTATTATTTTCAAAACTTAAGTTTGTGCTGCTCAGTTCAGTGCTGTCTTGTTGCGGCGGACTTCCACAAACCCTCCTCCACTAGGTTTCAGGGGTCATAAATGACATGGGGAAGATTGCCTGTCTTCCTGCTGAGGAGCTGCTGGTGGCATGAAATTGCCAGGAGGTGCAGCCTTTGGCTAAGCCATGAACTTACTTGCCAGTGCTCCTTGCTGCTATTGCTGCCCACCTTTAAAATGACCACGGGATCTCACAGATGGCTGACTTAATTACCACAAGGCGCTGCCCAGTTATTGTTGTTGGGTGCCAGCCATCCAGTCAGCTATAACTCATGGTGACAGTATAAACGGTGGATCTGAATCTCACCCTGTCCTGTACTGCCCTCACCAACTCTGCTGGACTTGAACCCGTTCACTGTGTCAGTCCTCTTTTAGGACTAGTCACATTTCCCAGTATGGTGTCTCTTTCCAAAGACAGACTGGTTTCACCTAACAACATGCCCAGAGTATGAAAGGGAAAGTTACACTATCCTTGCCTCTAAAGGGCAGCCTGGTTGTATGTTACAAGATGTATATCTTTGTTCTTTTGGCAGTCCATAGGATGTTCAGTACTCTTCTCCAGCACCACAGCTCAAAGGCATCAGTTCTCTGGTCATCAGTCATTTTCCATCTTGTAGATGGATAGCGAGTAGTTGAAAAAACTGTGGCTTGAATCAAATTGCTCCTTAGTCTTTAGACTGACATCATTGCTTCATAACACCTTAGAATGTACTCCTTGATGGCAGATTTTCCCAATGCAGTATGTCTTTTGATCTCCTGACTGGTGGTACCAAGGGTGTTTGCTGTGGATTCAAGTAAGAGGAAATGGTTGACAATTTCATTCTTTCCTCCATCTATCATGATGATATTGCTTATTGGCCCAGTGGTGAGGAATTTTGTTTTCTTGATATTGAAATATGATCCACATTGAAAACTGTAGTCTTTGATCTTCTGCAGCAAACATTTCAAGGTCTTCTTCACTTTGAGCGAGCAAGATTGTGTCATCTGCATGATGCAAGTTGTTGATGAATCTTCCTCTGATCCTGATGCCACATTCTTCATAAAGTCCAGGCGTTCGAATGATTTGCTCAGCGTACAGATGGAATAGGTATGGAGAAAGGATCCAGCCCTTAAACACACCTTTCCTGATTTTACACCATACAGTGTTCCTTGCTCTGTTCAAACAACAGCTTCTTGGACTAAGTATAGATTTCTTAACACAATTACATGTTCTAGGATTCCCATTCTCAGTTTTCGTTATAATTTGTTAACGATCCACACAGGCCTTTGTGTAGTCAATAAAACACAAGGAGATATCCTTCTGGTATTTTCTGCTTCTAGCCAAGATCCATCTGACGTCAATAGTGATATCCCTGGTGCTTTTGCCTCTTCTGCATCCAGTTTGAATTTGTGGAAGTCCTCTGTCAGTGTACTGCTCTAGCCATTTTTGGATAATCTTCAGTAAAATTTTACTTACATGTGATATTGGTGATTTTGTTTGATAATTTGTACATTCTGTTAGACCACCATGTTTGGTATTGGAAACAAATAGGGATCTCTTCCAATCAGTTGGCCAGGTACTGTCTTCCACATTTCTTGTCACATACTGGCGAGCATGTCTGGGCTTTGTCTGCCTGTTTAAACATACCAGTTGGTATCCCACCACTTCTTGGGCGTTAGTTTTGCCATTGGCTTCATTGCAGCTTGAACTTCTTCCTTCATCACCGTTGGTGCTTCGTCCTATACTTCTTCCTGAAATGGTTCCGCATCAGCCAGTTCATCTTGGTACAGTGTTTATATATATATTCCTCCCACCTCCTTTTGATGCATAGTGGTAAGGTGTTTGTGCTGCCAACCCAAAGGAACACAGTTCAAATCTACCAGCTGCTTCACAGGAGAAAGATGAGCAGTCTCTTCCTGTGTGAGTGCCTGCCTCTGAAAACCTGCCGGTGGGTCAGCTTTGAGCTAGTGCCAACTGGCCAGTGCATGTCAGTTATAGCAATTGACCTCTTAAACTCCTGTCTGGAGAGCACCTCTTAGTGTCTGCTAGTGGTCAAGCTTGGGCAGCAGCTGGAAGGCTGTATGCAAAGAGGCCTGCGGTGTGTCACACCGGCAGCCACAACTGCCTGTTGAGTGTGTCACGTGCTTGTCTCACCCCAGTGACCATAGCACAGGTTGAGCTTTGTGAGAGACTTTAGGCTGGGCCAGTTGACATTCACTCTGTAAGTCAGGCCTTGATTCCACCTGATATGGACAGAGCCGGACAGCTGGATGCAGCCCCACGTCTGCGCTCCTGTGGAAGGGTATAGAAGATGTGCACATTTGGGTTTCTTAATGGCACAACCACTTCTTTAAAAGTGCTTTGCAAATACCTTTCTGTTTTTGGAAAACATTCGGAAGGAGGCAGGCCAGTGAAATAGAAAATGGCTAGTCAGTGAGACCATTGCAAGGAATGAATGCACGGTGCCTCAGTCACTGCTCACAGTCTCTGTGTGGCCTGGTGACTGGGCAAGGGGCCAGGTGGGAGTTGGGGAGCTTCTAACAGATCTCTTGTACAGCCGTGTGTAAACATGTTCAGTACTGAGCAGTGAGGAGAGGCTCCAGGAGCATTTTCATCTTGTGTCAGGACCGCTCTGGGTCTGTAGCTGTATTTTCAGGGACCTCTGTAATTACAGCATAGTCTTAAAGTGTCACTTTAATTGGGCCCCTGTCCCCTTGTGACACATTACAAGAGGCCAGGAGGGGCTAAGTTTTCCCAGAGTCCAGCTCATCATCCTTGATTGCCTCTCATTCCCATACTCCCTTGGGTGTGTTCACTGTGTGTGTGTTCACCGTGTGGGTACCTGCTCACTTATCACTGGTGCTGCCTCTTGGTGTAAGGCAGGTGGGATTTGGTGGGGGTGGGGGTGGGGCTTTGAGAAAAGGTCATAGGAACTAATTAAGGATATCCTTATTGAGCCCACTGGGCTAGAGGTGAAGGCTGCTCTGATGAGCTTATACTTATGGGCTTGCAGGTGGTCCTTAAAGTGGGAGAGGAGTTGGCCTTGAAGGAGTGGAAGAGTGGGAGGGCCTGGACCTGTACTTACAGACTTAGAAGTCAGTCTAGGGCCCTGTATCGTCCAGAACCTTCCATGTGCCCTTGTTCCCACTCTGTTTGTAGCTTTGTTGCCACTGCAGATAGGACACTGTCCCCTCCCAGGGTCACTTGGGCTGTTCTGAACAATGGGGTAAAAGCTGAGGCACTGTGAGCAGACCAGCACGTGACTGGTCCTTGTGAAGTTTGTTTGGGCTGTTCCTTTGGGTGGCCGCTTGGCTTTGTTCTCTGCTGACAGCATCTTCCTCACTGGCCATCTATGCTCTCTTTGGTGAGAGTCAAGTGCTGTCTGTGTCACAGCAAGAGATGGCTGTCACCTCACTCTCCTTGAAAGTATCTGACTTACCCTACTTTTGTTTTCACAGAGTAACAGTTATCCCTCAATGACGGACCCCTACCTGTCCAGCTACTACCCACCCTCCATCGGCTTTCCTTACTCCCTCAATGAAGCCCCGTGGTCGACTGGAGGGGATCCTCCCATCCCGTACCTCACCACTTATGGACAGCTCAGCAATGGTGACCATCACTTTATGCACGATGCGGTTTTCGGGCAGCCAGGGGGTCTGGGGAGCAACATCTATCAGCACAGGTTTAATTTTTTTCCTGAAAACCCTGCCTTCTCGGCTTGGGGGACAGGTGGGTCTCAGGGCCAGCAGACTCAGAGCTCAGCTTATGGAAGCAGCTATACCTACCCACCGAGCTCCCTGGGTGGCACAATTGTGGACGGACAGACCGGTTTCCACAGTGACACGCTCAACAAGGCCCCCGGCATGAACAGCCTGGAGCAGGGCATGGTGGGCCTGAAGATTGGGGATGTGGCCACTTCAGCAGTCAAGACTGTGGGCTCTGTTGTGAGTAGTGCAGTGATGACTGGCGTTCTTTCGGGCAATGGAGGAGCAAATGTCAGCATGCCAGTTTCAAAGCCCACCTCCTGGGCTGCCATCGCCAGTAAGCCAGCTAAGCCACAGCCCAAGGCCAAAGCCAAGTGCACGCCTGTGCTGGGCGGCACAGTGCCGCCCCCGCCCATCAGGCACAACATGGACATTGGCACCTGGGACAACAAGGGCCCTGTGGCCAAGGCCCCGGCGCCCTAGCAGGCTCCGTCCCCCCAGTCAGTCTCACAGCCTCAGCAGGTTGTCCAGTCCATCCCAGTGCAGCCCCCGCCCCTGACCCAGCCACAGTACCAGAACTCCCAGCAGCCGCCCCAGACCCGTTGGGTAGCCCCACGCACCAGGAGTGCCGTGTTTGGGCAGAGTGCAGGGGCTGGTAGCGACAATACCTCTCCAGGAAGCGCTCAGCCCAGCACAGCCCTGAGCATGGAGTCCCACTCTGTTCTGGAGAAGCTGAAAGCTGCCCATAGCTACAACCCTAAGGAGTTTGACTGGAACCTTAAGAATGGCCGCGTGTTCATAATCAAGAGCTACTCGGAGGACGACATCCACCGCTCCATCAAGTACTCCATCTGGTGCAGCACAGAGCATGGCAACAAGCGCCTGGACGGGGCCTTCCGCTCCCTGGGCAGCAAGGGGCCCGTCTACCTGCTCTTCAGCGTCAACGGAAGCGGCCACTTCTGTGGTGTGGCTGAGATGAAGTCGCCAGTGGACTATGGCACCAGCGCAGGGGTCTGGTCCCAGGACAAGTGGAAAGGCAAGTTTGACGTCAAGTGGATTTTTGTCAAGGACGTGCCTAACAACCAGCTGCGGCATATCCGGCTGGAGAACAATGACAACAAGCCCGTCACAAACTCCCGTGACACGCAGGAGGTGCCCTTGGAGAAGGCAAAGCAAGCGCTCAGGATCATCGCCTCCTACAAGCACACCACCTCCATCTTCGACGACTTCTCCCACTATGAGAAGCGGCAGGAAGAGGAGGAGGTAGTGCGCAAGGTGAGGGGCTCGGTGGCGAACGCTTCCCTTGGTTCCTGCCCACCCAGAGTCTTTGCAGGTGGAAGACCAGGAAGGAGGCGCTGGGCACTGCCACTGGGAACAGGGCAGCTGACCCTGTGCTGGTTAGGGTGAAGCCAGGAGCAGGTGCCAGTGGCACTACTTAGTGCAGGTTCACTCACGTGACCAGGTGATGGTGGACTAGATGCCACTGTACAACTTCTTCGTAATTTTTGAGACTACGTTGTTACCATAGTGGACAGATTCTGTTAAGAACTTCAGGGTCCATTTTGTAACTTAGGTCTCACTTCTTCGAGCCTTTGCCATACCTGGAAAGCACTGTTGACATAGTAGATGGGAAGGAGTTGCTCAGGGCTGGCAAGTGTGAGTTCAGGGGTTTTTTGTGAGAAAAATTTGTATTTAGAATAAGTCAACTGGACTCAGTTTAGATGATCCCAATTTTGTTGGCAGTATCCAAAGTATCAGTCAGGAACAAGTTGAACACAGGCTGCCTTTCCATCAGGTCTAATCAAAGTGCTGACGTGGACCACATTGATGTCATAAAGCTTCTTTACAGCTTGTTTGATTTGGTACTTGTTGGCCTTGACATCACAAGTATGTTGTTATCTTCAGTCTTCTTCATGACTGTCTTGGTGATCAGGGGGACACTTGATGATGGCATAATGGTTCTCCTGGGCACCCTCTTTTTGGGCTGCCTTTGAAGTCTTGGCATCTTAGGCCTCGAAGGTGGGTGACTTGAGGATCTTTTTTTTTGAGGCTGTGGTTGCCCTCCAGGGTGGCCTTCTTGACTTTTAATGCCTTTGCTTTGGCTTCAGTTTTTGGAGGGGCAGGGCTTCCTTCTTTGCTTTCAGTGCCATCTTCATAGAAAGTGTAAAGAGTGCTTTGAAGAGTGGCGTCTTGAGCACTCCACCTCCTGGGGTCACTGGAGCTGTCCTCATACAGGCGCCCAGTGCCTACCGGGGCTTGCCCTTTTGGGTACTGGATGGAGGTGCATGCATCTGAGACGAAAGCCTGCACCCCTGTTGTGGGGTACTCCTCAAAGATGGAGCCATGCTGCCTTGTGAGAGGCGAAGTGGTGGTCGAACAGGTCTGGGTTGAACTGTACTTAAGTAAAAGGGTCGAAGTGGATGAGGCCATTAGAGGTGTGACTTAGAATGCTTTGAAGGAGCCATTTCTATCTTGGCCTTCGCTTTTGGGAGGGTTGGCACCTGTGACCTGTGAAGTGGCTGCGGCTTGTGCCCACTTTAGAAATGTTCATGTCTAGCGGTGCTTTCTAAAGACGAGGTCTGGGGAACCATGGGTGGTGCTTCCACTCTGCGAGGAAGTGGGGCTCCCTGGGCACGCAGGTGTGAACAAGTGTGGCCTTCCACACCAGAGGAGGCAGCCTTCTCCTAGGTGACACACTTCGTGGTGTGTGACTACCACCATCTCATGGTAGTTCCCAGCCCCGAGTCTCGCTGGTTCCTTCACAGAGGCCCAGATGGCCTGCCTCTGCATCCAGGCTGGAAGGACAATTGAGGTACAGGTCAGGGTGGAGAAAGGCGCTGTGCAGTCCAAGTACCTCCGCCAGGCTTACCAGGCAGAGTTTTTCAACAGGAGCTGGAGGGCCTTGGCTGTAGAGGGTGTGGTGGGCAGGCAGGTGCCCTGGTGGCTTGAAGGTGAGAAAGCATGCCAGTGTCTGGCCGGGACATGGTTCCAGTTCTGCCCTTGAGCACATGGGTTTATATGTGAAGCACGTTGCTGTGTGCCATGCTGGTGTCTTCTCAGGGAGGGGCGAAGGCTGAGGGTGCCCTCGTGGGGAGGGCCACCTGGAGTGCCAGTCATCCCCCAAGCAGAGTAGAAGTGCTGGTGTGGTCAGGGTTCTGAAGGTATTTCTGCATCGTCACCAATGTGTTAAACAGCTTCCTCTTTCTCTCTACAGGAACGACAGACTCGAAACAGACAGTGAGAACACGCCGCTTTCCGACTTGCCCTAACATTAGACTGAACCGTGTACCTGGTGCTGCCCTCGGGCACCAGCTCCACCTGCAACTTCTGTGGGGGCCATGGGGTTGCGGCACGCTCGCCCTGAGTTGGGAGCTTGTTTTGCCTGGTCGGATCCGCACTCATTTGTATGTTGTTATGTATTATAATATTGTAGAGCTCACTAATAAAGGTGTGTGTGTTTGGGGGTTTTTTTTTCTTTTTCCAGTTATCCATCAGACTGGCCTAGTACAAAACACAAGTATCCTAAAAAGAACCTACTACATCCCAAAGATGTTTTTCCTTTTTTAATTTTGGCAGAGATCATGTTCTTAGAGTCACAGTTGTTTGTATTTCTGAATGAGGCTTTTTCTTTCTCACCCCTTGTTGTTTTCATGCGGTTGTGAGAACTGTAGGTCATTCGGGGTCTCTGTTAGGGCGTCTCTGAAGTCTCAGGCCAGGGCAACCATATTTTTTGCTGGTTTTGTCTTAGTGGCTAGTCTGCAATTTGATTTTCCAGTAGGCCAAAAGGCCACACCAATTTTAATTTCCCAGACTTGAGGGAAAGTGTCTCCTTGGGAAGACCCCCATGGACTTGCTCCAGCAGCATGGACTGGCCCTGCACTGTGTGAGCCTCTCGGGACCTGATCAGCCTCTGCTTGTCTGGCTGTTGTGCAGGTCTTTTTATTCTCTTCCTTCTTGGGAGAGCTGCCAGCCATTTTTAGGGTTCACACCAGTGAAGCTGTGCTTTACAGAGAGGCTGGGCACACCTGAGACCCTCATATCATTTTCATTGTATGGTCCCAATTTTTTTTCCTTGTTGAATGAGGTTTTTTAAAAATAAAAAAGGCAACATACACCACCAAACCCCTTCAGAACTGCTTTGCTGTCATGTTTTGTGGTATGAGGGAGCCGTTGAAGACCCCACCAGAGTGTGCCTAGAAGTGGGGTGCCTGCCTGTGGATCCAGTGCCCCATGTCTGCACACTTCCCCCACACTGGTGGCAGCTCTGGGCCAGTCCTTGGCCTCTGGTGCCACATGTGTACCGTGTCGCTTAGACTTGTATTAGAATGTTCCACCTTCTCCAAGCCTGCCCTGCCGTGGGGTGGGGCAGCGGCAGCGTGACTGTCCTCGAGGAGAATACAAGCCTTAATAAACACTTCTGTTAGCACTGGGCGTCTGTCGTCCTTCTCCCTGTGCAGCTGCTTGGCAGGGTGCGTTAACTGTGGCTGAGTGAGTTATGGGGCAAGTTGGGCTTCTGCTCAACGGTTTGTCCTCATTCTGTTGTTGGACGTCATCTTGTGATTTCCATTTCCGTCGGAACATAACTCCTGAGTGTTCTCCCTGAGCTGATGCTGGGCCCCAGGTGACCTGGTGAGCCATGTGCACCTCACTGGTGTGCCGAGTACCCTGGGGCCCAGTGCGCTGTGGGCTTGAAAGTGAGCCGCAGGTGAGGTCCAGACCTGCACTGGGAAAAGTTGCCATCACTTGGGCAGGTGGAGGTGGGGTGTTTAGTACAAAGCCAGTTACACAGTCACTTTCCTGTGACCTGTGACTTCCCACTCACAGGAAGGCCTTCCTTTCTGCTGGGGCCTTTCAGGGGGGCCTGCTGCTGCACTGGGCTGCCACTCCCTCCTTGCAGGCCGGGTCAGGCCTTACCAGAACATGAAGTAGAAGGATCTTAGGAAAGCCACCGCCCCCACCATGACTTTCAGCTACTCCGTGCCCCCAACTCTCCTGGTGACTCTCCCCTAAGTCGACTGCACACCCTCTGAAGACATGAGCATACCCCCTCTGAACAACGCAGCAGGTCAGTAGGCTTCCTCCTGAGGTTAATCTTGGATGAAATCCACAGGGCAGCACGTGGATGGTAGAGATGCTGTTGGTGAGTGCAGCCAAGCCTGGCGCCCTCCCCCAGGCCTGTTGCTGTCCAGGACTGGGAGACTGCTGCTTGAAGAGTGAGACTTTGTGCCTCATGTCACCCTTACTGTCACTCACCCAGAAGGCTTCCTCCAGATCCAGGAGGGTTGGTTGGGCTGACTGGAAAGTCTGCTGTTTCAATTAGCCCCTGCTCTTCAGGAGGAGAATTTACAGCTGCAGAAAGCAGGGGTGGAGGGCGGCTGCTGGGAGTCAGAATCCCTCCAAGGCAGTGGGGTTCCTGGGAGGTCATTTCTGGGAATGGATGCTTATTAGGTAAATGCCTAAGGTGGGTATGTGGGGGGTGGGTGTCCTGTGACCTTTTCCAAACGAGGTCAGCGATGGGAGATGCTACCTTACACGGAGACCATGAGAAGAGCAGGCTGAAGTGATGGCCCTTCCTGCAGGGCCCAGAGCCTGTAGTCTCACCTGAACAGGCAGAGCGGCTGAATCTAACACTGCCCTCCTGGCTTCCCATTAAGCAGCAGTAGAGACTAAGGGTTGTAGAAAGCATATTTGGATGAGGACCCAGGTGCAAGTTTAAGCCAGGCCGAATTGGCCCAGTGACCATGGCAACTCACTGGATAGCCCCCAGTACTGCTTGCTGGTAGGCTTTTGTAATGGGGCTGCAACTGGCAGCCCAGCCCCAGGCAGTAGCTTTGCTATGAGTGGACTGTCACCTCCTGATATTGGGGTCCTCTTAAGTCACTCACTATAATGTTGAGTCATGGCAGTGTAACCCTGGCCAGCCAACCTCTAGATGCTACAATGTCAGGAGACTGGACCTTCAGCCTGGGGCCATGGCTCCTCCCAGCCCAGTGGCCAGAGGTAAGGACGCAACCCAGCGAGGAGGCTGCTGTGTGCCGGGGGGCATCTCCACTAGGTGCCCACTTCCAGTGGACTTGGAGTGCTCCATGAGCTGAGGGCAGGGCCTTGATTGTCCCTCCAGACTGCAGAGCTGTCCATCCTGAGGTCCCTCTCTATGTGGTTTCTGGGTAAACAGGTCAGGCTTAAGGAGGCTCCCTCTGCTGTCAGAGGGAGAAGCACAGCCTGGAACCACAGAGAAGGCCTTGGTCCAGCCCTGAGCTCAGGCTTGCTGTGTCCCCAGAACTGGCCAGGGACCAAGGGCAGATAGGTCCACTGGAAGTGGAGTCCATCAATGTATGGGGCTTCCTGTGAGTGGTTCCCCCAGGGTTGGGGTCCATTTATGCATTCCGGCGAATGGGTGTGGGATTCCCTCAGATCCACAAGTGTGGGGTACACAGCCTATGCAGGGCTTGGAATGCCACAATTGGTATGTGAGCTTGAGGGGAGGGGCCTCATCATCATCTCAGCAGATCGTGTGCTGGGGGACGGTGTGAAGCACCAGCAGGCCCAGGACATTGACCCAGAGCTAGGAAAATGGTGAGGAGTGGGAGCCTGCCCACCCCTTCATCCTGGAGGGCCTCTTGTGTCTGGGCTTGTGCACCTGGAGGGGGCAGGCCCTCATCCAGGGACCTTGGCTGTATCCAGGGACCTTGGCTGTTGGGAGTCAGGGTGAGACCACAGAAACCATCCAACGGTTTTGTTTTTTATTTGGGAAACATGTCACATGGAAAAGTTGCAAGGACAGGAATAATACAATTTTTTGTATGAACAGAAAATGCCCTTCCCCCCAGTCACCACTGACTTTGCATGCTCATGGTCTTACATGTGAGGTCATAGGTATGACTGACATTGTGAGGCTGAGCGTGTGGGTCCCAGGCTGTGCCCTTTGGGGGGTGTGGAACCTGAGCTGCCCTCCATCCTATCTTCTGGGGGTTCATGGAGGCCTCCTGGGCTAGGCTGCGCTGTTCTGTGGCAGCCAGATCTTTAAGATGGGATGGCGTGATTGAGGACCGGGGAGGGCACCAGGGGTGCTCCATGACCAGGAGGAGTGGTAGAGCCAGCCTGCTGAGGAGGCCAGATCAGTAAGATGCTACTTAGAGGGCACAGGGCAGGAATTTGGACCATTTATTCCAGGGTAACCATACAACCCTAGGGGAAGCTCACGTCTCCTCTGCTCAGAAGCTGGCTCGCAGGGTCTCTTCTGTCTGGCAGAATCTGCTCTAGCCCCTAGGAATCTATTGGCCTCCAAGAACCTCCTCCATCTTTAGCCATGCCTCCAAGTCTCTGGAACCTTTTCTGACTCCCAGAACACTCTTCCAACCCCTGGAGACTTCCCTGGACCCACAGAAAACTCTTCTGATGCCTGGGTTTTCACCAGTCCCAGGACTTTCCGACTACCTTTCTGAGAACCTCTCCTGACAGGAGAAACCCCCACAGGAGCCCCTAGTCCCAGGAACTTACCCCAATTGCCAACATCTCCCTCAGCCCTCGGGGGCTTTGCCAGCTCCTGAGTGACTCCTGAAGGCGGGTGATGGTTGTGGGCGTAGAGGGTGGCTGGTGGAAGACATGGCGGAGTTCTCAGGCTCCTCCCTGTGTCTGTGGCTCTGTCCTTGGCAGATTGTCCCCATCCCTGTCCCATCTTTCCCAGCCCTCCATCCATCCTCCATGGGTCCCCATTTCCACACACCTCTGGAAACCCTGAAAACTGCCTTGTTATCCTGTGTGGTTCAGCTCTCTAAGGAACCACATGTCTCTGACCCATGAGGACTTCCAGGGGCTCGGGAGAGGCCAGTGGCAGGCACTTCTGGGCCATGGGCGCTGTCAGGTGGTGGTGGTGTGCACGGAGCAGACCGCATGGCCGGGGCTGCACAAGTGGATTTTGCCCTAGACCGTCATCAGCAAGATGCTCATGTGTAGAGGCAAAGCCTGGAGAGGGCAGGACCAGGGTCCTGTGTCCAGGCAGTGGACTGTGGAGGGCCTTCATGGCTGCCCATCTCGAAGGTGATACTGAGCACGGGCAGAGGCCCAGGGGATGCAGAGTGGGTGCTGGAGAAGCTTCTTTAGTCCAGGTTGATCGGGGAGTGGGAGGTAAAATGAGAAGAGAAAGGACAGGAAAACATTTCACTGACCCAAGAGCAAGAGGGGTCTCCTCTGCGGGCTGTCCTCTGTGCCCTGCACTGACACACAGGATAAGGGAGCACA